AATATTCTTTTCTCTGAATTATTCTATGTAATTCGAGCAGAAAACTATATATGCCTTTGTGTGGTCTGTTTTCAGACAATCAACCATTGTTCTGAACTGATAGTGAGATTCTATAATTTTTCTCATTGGTGATTTTCTTCTGTTGAAGAAAGAACATGAAAGTAAGTATGCATTGAAACGAAAATCTTGTCTCGCAAATTTTCTGAGAATTGAGTTTAAAAATTTCCGCAGTTCAAAACTAAAAATTAGTTTTTTTGCCAGAAATAACAAACGGAATACTTTGATTTTTGGTTTGAGGCTGGAGTGATCTTTGTTTATGAAGTACGAATTGATGTTATCGAAATATATCCGTCTGGACATTATGCAATCGATGTTGTATTTTATAATAGAGATACTACAACTGTGTGAAATATTTGTCTTTCGTGGTAATGAGCCTTAGTCGCGAGTTTGCATATTCTGGAGTTTATTTGGAATGTATATAGTTTTGATATTTATTTAAAGTAAGATGCAATTTAGTGTCTTTGCTTCTGATATACATATCGCGAATTAATAGAAAATTTACCGTGTGAAAGAAGTTTTATTTAAGACAGTTAAGGACAAGGAAGATTCATCGTTTCCGCTCGCTTCACCATCGACCGTGGCGAGCAAGAGCAGCTCATGTATGAGTTAGCTGTGCAATCATTTCAGTTAACAACTCTTTTCACGATATTGACTTGTACTGATCGACTTATTTCATGGGGATTGTCGGACAGAAACAAAAATACTCGTTTCGGACAATATTTTCACTCGACTTCGAAGTATGTCACTTGGACAACGACCATAGGTAATATTGTTGGACTAAGAATCCGTATCTATTCCAGTCTAGCATTTGAGTCTCTTTTACCCACACCCTGAAAGCACTCGAAATCTATTCAAATCCTGGCGGAGTAAAACTTAAGTGCTTCCTGGTAACAATGTAGAAAGATGCTTACTTACGTGACCACCACACCCCTCAAGAATTGCACTTAATGAATCTCACCCATTTATTCAGTATGGTAGAGGGGACTCATCAATCGCACTTTCAGCTATCTTCTGCTCTTTAGCATTAGCGTGTTTCACCTATTACCCTCAATCTAAATACAAGCACATAGAACAGAAAACAGCATCTTTTGCATGACCCTCACCACAGTTGAGACTATAGCCCTAAGTCCTTTCTTCGTGGTTGCCTTTTATATCTGACGGATTTTGGCCTTATATAACTTAGTCAGTACCATCAGACTCTCCTCTCTCTCAACAACCCTGTGTGTGACATACCCACACTTACAGATTGATTGCCATTACTAAATTCACATTTTCAAGGCAGTCCGAAAAGTACTCATGACAGATCAACTAAAACTAATGGAAAAACATATTCAGTTACATACTCAAGAACATCAGTCATCAACACACATGTTCACAGTGTAACGAGATATTCGTTAAGATTCGTGCTTCTTGCCTTTATTCTATATCGTCCCCAACTGCCTCTTCTTTTTTCGCGGAGAGAGTAACAACAATGAGAGAGAAAGGGAAACAAAGAAGGACAGCATCATTATGCACAATTGGCGACCTGTTCGAAAGATGTAGCGCGATTGGTTACACACAGCTGTTGTTAAATAGAAATCTAACGCGCTCATATCAAATACTATTTATTTTGCGAAACTTAAATAAAAAGTAATCACTTGTTGAAAAATAATGAACAAGTACAATCAATTACTCCGCTTCAGTCGCTAAGAGGCGGTAATTAAATTATTTCGTANGTGATGGATAGATCTCGTCATTCCGCATCGAATGGTGTAACTTGAGTGGGGGTCTATCAACCCTACCTAGTGGTTTCACCAGTAAATACTAGTAAAATAGTGGTTTTTACCACTAATACCTGCTGATATTCGCTCAGGAACTTGTGATGGCTCTGAAATTCCTGGGACTGGTGAAACTCGACGAGCTCCACAACTTTGTCTAACGACACTTTTCTGCCAGACTCTTCCTTCAGTCCGAAATATGTCAAAAACCGACCCTAATCCGTGAAAAACCTAGGCTTTGGCGCCTAGTTTGGCCTAAAAGTGCTTTCCAATGGTACAATCATTGGTTTCAAGTAGATCTTGATTACCGCTATTGATATCACATTGAATTCATCAATTTCCAATTTGTTGGCATCAAGAACAATGCTAATCAGCAATAAATCCGCTACATACATCTCTTCCCTCTCACTTATTGGTTCATTCTTGTGAAGCAATGAAAAATATCATATTTTTCAAAAATTTTATTGTGCAAATGGGCTAAACTGTAATTAGTGGTAGAATATTCTTTTCTCTGAATTATTCTATGTAATTCGAGCAGAAAACTATATATGCCTTTGTGTGGTCTGTTTTCAGACAATCAACCATTGTTCTGAACTGATAGTGAGATTCTATAATTTTTCTCATTGGTGATTTTCTTCTGTTGAAGAAAGAACATGAAAGTAAGTATGCATTGAAACGAAAATCTTATCTCGCAAATTTTTTGAGAATTGAGTTTAAAAATTTCCGCAGCTTAAAACTAAAAATTAGTATTTTGGCCAGAAATAACAAACGGAATTTTTTGATTTTTTCGGTTGGGGTTGGGGTGATCTTTGTTCCTGAAGTACGAATTGATGTTATAGAAATATTCCGATCTCAACAATAGGCAATCGATCTTAAATGTTACAATGGAGATATTATATTTGTGTGAAATTTTTTTTTCTTCGCAATGAGGCTTGGTCGCGCTTTCGCATAATCTAGAATTTATTGCGAGTATATGTTATATTTGATTTTTATCTAAAATGTGATGCAATATAGTGTCTTTACTTCTAATATACATATCAAAAATTAATAGGAAATTTATTGTGTGAAGGAAGTTTTACTTAACATAGTTGAGAACTAGGAAGGTTCATCGTTTCCGCTGACTTCACCATCGACCGTGGCGAGCAAAAGCGGCTCATACCTGAGTTAGCTGTGCAACCGCTTCAGTTAACAACTCTATTCACAGTATCGACTTGTACCGATCAACTTATTTCATCAGAATTGTCGAAAAGGAACAAAAATACTCTTTTCGGGCAACATTTTCACTCGGCTTTGAAGTATGGCACTTGGGCAGGGACCATAAGTAATATTATTGGACTAAGAATTCGTATCTGTCCCAGTCTAGCATTTGAGAGCCTCTTTTACCCACACCCTGATTGCACTGGAAATCTATTCAAATCCTGGCGGAGTAAAACTTAAATGCTTTCTGCTACCAATGTAGAAAGATGGCTAAGTATGTGACCATCGCACACCTCAAGAATTGCACTTAATGAATCCCACCCATTTATTCAGTATGGTAGAGGGGACTCATCAATCACACTTTTAACTATCTTCTGCTCTTTAGCATTAGCGTGTTTCACCTATTACCCTCAATCTAAACACAAGCACATAGAACAGGAAACAGCATTTTTTGCATGACCCTCGCCACAATTGAGAATATAGCCCTAAGTCCTTTCTTCGTGGTTGTCTTTTATATCTGACGGATTTTGGCCTTATATAACTTAGCCAGTACCATCAGACTCTCCTCTCTCTCAACAACCCCGTGTGTGACATATCCACACTTACAGATTGATTGCCATTCTTAAATTCACATTTTCAAGGCAGTCCGAGAAGTATTCACGACAGATCAACTAAAACTAATGGAAAAACATATTCACTTACATACTCAAGAACATCACTCAGCAACACACATGTTCACAGTGTAACAAGATATTCGTTAAGATTCGTGCTTCTTGCCTTTATTCTATGTCGTCCCCAACTGCGCCTTCTCTATTCGAGGAGAGAGTAACAACAATGAGAGAGAAAGGGAAACAAAGAAGGACAGCATCATTATGTGTAATTGGCGACCTGCTCGAAAGATGTAGCGCGATTGGTTACACACAGCTGATGTTAAATAGAAATCTAACGCGCTCATATCAAATACTATTTATTTTGCGGAACTTAAATAAAAAGTAATCACTTGTTGAAAAATAATGAACAAGTACAATCAATTACTCCGCTTCAGTCGCTAAGAGGCGGTAATTAAATTATTTCGTAACTGTAATTGTCATGAAAAAGGAGATATCATCAAATGCTACCATTACTTCTATTTTTCCGCCTTACAACTGATCCCTAGTACTGTGAATTCATATATGCGTGAAGCCAACATTTAAAGAAAAGTACAATCACTTAAAGCTTTGAACTTTATATTAAAGTTAAAATGTTTTAAAAATTTTCTAGTTTCAATTTAAACTAAACAAAACTGTAAAATGTCTAGAATACCTCAATGGTTTTTTTAAAGTTGGAGTCTATAGCGGTTTTACTTTTCTTGGCATCTTGAAGTTATATCGAAAAGTTTAACTTTCAACTTTGGCTAATTTTTCAAAGTAAAGTTAAAGTTGAAGTACAACTCCCGCATTCAGCAGTAAGGTAAAAGAATGCAGCACAACCATCTTTCAAATAAGACAAGAGAAGCTGATACAACTGAGAATATAAAATTAAACAAACATGTCCACATCAGAAAAAAGAACTCCCCGACGATCATATCCATCCCTGGATCTTCAATTCAAACTTTTCAAAAAAATACTTTGCCTTCACAAGTTCCCACCGTTATATCATCGAAGACTCTACAGCCGCTTTCGAAACAGAAAACGTCCGCATAAACAATTTATCATCAACCATATCTTTTACTAAAATTTGTTAAACATTTTTCCCTTTTCTTTCGAAAAAGCAAACCAACATGTATTTCTATTTCCAATGTGTTCATTTCGCTCTAATTTCGTAAGAAGCCGTTCAAGTCTAAAGCATATTTCAGAATTTTTCAAGACACACTACAAAGCGTCCAACAGAATCCTTGAAGTCCATTCAATCAAAGCATTCCGTTTGTTATTTCTGGCCAAAATACTAATTTTTAGTTTTAAGCTGCGGAAATTTTTAAACTCAATTCTCAAAAAATTTGCGAGATAAGATTTTCGTTTCAATGCATACTTACTTTCATGTTCTTTCTTCAACAGAAGAAAATCACCAATGAGAAAAATTATAGAATCTCACTATCAGTTCAGAACA